GAGAATTTCTCAAGGAAGGGGAACGGATTTTGAAGGAGATGCTTTTGCATACTAATACAGTATTTTGGTTACTTTTTTTAAGAAGGGTGTCAAGGAAAACAGAGATAAACGTAAATTGAAATTAGAATAAAAGCTAAATTTGACATTCACTGCCCACGTCGGAATTTGAAGACTGTTATAAAATTTTGTATTTACAACATGCAGCATTGTAAAACACAATAGTCATCATTAATGCATAGCTATAGAATTTTTCTTTGCTACTGCCACCTAGTGGTAGAGAAGGGACAGTGTGGGTCCCTTCCTTGGTGACAGCACCAGTCATTCATTCTTCAGAAAACATCACTTCTTGTAAAGCAGTATTTTATGCACAGTCTGACACTGGAATAGTTAAACACTTGTGGGATCTAGTTCTGCTTTACTCTGACTGAAACAATTTTGCTGTCACTATACCAGTTGCTATTGATATTATGTGATAAAAATATGTTTTAAAATGTTATAAAGCTGGGTTGCCATGGCAAATCTTATATCTGATGTGGAATATTTGTTTTAAAATAACGACAAGAGAAAAAATCTATTCCCTCGTATGTTAAAATGAGATCCCCTAGTTTGAAGCTCTGATCGGTCTAGTTATATGACCACTGGACATCATTATATTGAAATAATGTAAGAAAGTATCTTATTTTTGTAACACAGAGCTAAATTGAAAACAAATTGCCACATGCCTTGCTCTGAAGCAAAGCTAAACCTGTGATACACCAAGATATTGCACAAATGAGACAAAATATGTCTCTCACATACAGATCAATAAGTACATGCTTGAAACCAGAGAGACTTGTTCACAAAGCAGAGTGGATACCAAATTGACTGACATAATATCCAGTGCATCTGTACTGTAAAATTATAATTAAAAGCATACATTTATCACAGTAAACATGGTATTGGGTCTATTGTTTACCTGATATAATTAAGTACTACTACCCTATAGAATGCATATAAAATGTGCAATGCCACATGGAGTACCATTTGTAAACCATTGTCTGAAAAACAGACAGACAATATATCACCGCTATAATATAACAAAACAAAAAAAACTGTAAAACAGCATAAATATATATATTTTTCTGTTTCTCAAAGTATAATGGAAATGAAAAAAATTAGAAGTGAAACAAAACATTACACATAATATATGATACATATCCAACAAATAAGGACTTAGCCTTGAAAAAGGTGGTAAAGAGAGTCACTCTGATGATCAATTACATCTGTATTGAAAATATTGAATGACACTGTCAAGTTGACCACTACCTTTATGGAAACACAGAGTTTATGTACATCCCTGTGAAGTTGGGCAAGGACTCTAGCAATCTGTAGTTGTTATGGTGCTTAGAGTGCCACCTTGAGGTTGCTGAAAAAATGACTCCCCCCCCAAATATTGTAATTTGTAGCCGGGATCCCTCAGCCTTTGAAGCACTATGCACACAAGCTTCTATAATTATGATTAAACCTAAGTGAGTCATAGCTATATTCTTTATTAAAGGCACATGTAATAATAAAATGCAAAACATTTCAAAGATTTATTTTTTCATTTTTGTTCCTCTTTCTTCCACTGACCTTGTAATGAGCATGGTGTGTGTTTTGCCATGTATCCATCTGTATGGGATTAATTGAAATCATGTGTTTTCTTTTTAGATGGAGAGCTTCTTGAGGAAATATCATAAGCACTCACAGGTAAATGAACATGTGCTGCTACCTGACATTGTAGGTTATACCTCTCTCTCAGTCCCACCAATGACTACTATTTTATATGTCTTAAAAATGGCTTGTATTTTCCTTCCTTGCAGCTATTAGTGTAGATCGTTGAAGGAGCTGTGTCAACTCTGAGCTAGCAGCAGATAGTAAATCTATTTTTCTTTGACTTTCACAGGTTTAGCAAATATACAGTTGTCTCAGAATGTTCAGATAATTCTTTCTCTGAATAGGGGGTTAAATAAATGGCAGATTTTAGATGACAGAACAGAACTTCTTTGTGATGCCAGCATGTATTCCTTTAAATGTTTTTCCGATGTCAACACGAGAGGTAACCTAATGCGCGCAATAGGCCTTCCCCATAGGAAAGCACTGAATCAATGCTTTCCTCTAGAGATTTGCAACACACTGGATGTCCTCATGCAAAGTATGAGGATGTCCAGCAGTCTTGGAGACTGCCGCTAGAGGCAATCTTACCCCTGCAATGTAAAGATAGCAGTTTCTCTAAAATAATGAGATAGTGATGTGGGTGCCATAAAAAATACATTATTTTTGGAATTATAAATATAAAGTGTAAGATGTAAGATGTGGAAAGAATTTCAAAGGTGTAGTAAGGTGGAAAACATGTGCATTATTGGCTTGAAGGTGCACAAGTAAATATCTTACTTATCTCTTGTAAACCTAACCCCATAGTATTTAAGTGACGTGAAGGGTAGATACTGATACACATTTACCTGTTTCCTATTAACATTGGCTCTTTACATGTGTAAACTCTTGTTACTATAAGTTTGTATTTCTACAGGAGGGAATTAGTGCATATTTAAAAAATGTTTATTAAAAAGAAAAAATCTCTTTCTTTAGATATTTATAGGTGGAAGCATCAACATAAGATGGAAAGTGCTATTTTTCCTCTTGTTTCTTCTTTTATGGATATATCATCCATCTGTGCTGCCTTAAACCCTGTCAGTGGAATATTGCTTTGTGAGACTGCTTCATACTGTTTTATAAAATTCTTGTTTTGCTAAATCAATACTATTATTAACAATGTCTTGTCCTGTTTATTTCATGAATTGGAAGAAGATTAAAGCAAGAAACATCTCTGCTATACCAGCTGTTGAGCCCTTGGGGAATTTGTGGTGTCCTCCATTTGAGACATAATACTGGCTTTATTGTTTGTGAGTTTAACTGACACATGCCCTTTCCACATATTGTAATGGCAATATAACCATTTATGTGCTATACATTTTTCTACTCTTAAAGATTGGTAACTAATTGCAACATAATTTAGAAGACATGATTTTAATGTTTACAGATATAAAAAGAAGAGAAGGAATGAGTGTCCTAAGAGAATATAACATTTAACCTTTAATAGTAATAATAAAATCTCGTATAGATGTCCATAGTTAAGGTAATACTAAATAATAGACTGAAGTGTACGTACACTCTAATAAGTGACAATCTAAATAGGAAAATATGTGAAGATTTCCTGTAATGAGAAATAAGTTAATACAGGAATGGCTAGGTTCTGTTTTAAAATATACAGATACCTAAATGTACAAATATACAATTAGATTAACTAATAAATAACAGAAATATAAACATGCATATTGGAGCTCCTGTCTGAAAATGACAGAGACCTTCACTGCTGATATAAACTGAAAAAATAAATAAATAACAAGAAAGAAACTAAGGTATGTACATAATGAAAGGAAGGTTCTAATTGAACGTTCTCAGAAACCTTCCCTGCCACGGAGCCTGAGTCCGAATAGAAGTTGGCTGTCCGTTATTCAATAATATTCAATGTGGAAAATAACTGACAAATACCTTGAGCATAAACAGGTCCTGTTCAAAAGTTTTCAGAGACCTTAATATAAATGTGTATGCAAAATCAGATGTTTCCCAATTAACAAGTAGCTAAAACTATCATTAACCTGTATAGCCAATAAATTAAGTTGGTAAAGGATATTATTGCACAGATAAGTCAGGCATGCAAGTCCGGTGTCTTCAAGTTAGAATAGAGCATCGAAAATGCAGCCGAGCAGGTATTGTATAAATAGATAGTGTGATTTAGCAAAAGAAATATGTGACCCTAGGATCTAACAGGGGAGATATTCATAAACCATAAATGTAATGAGGATATTTGTTGGATACAGACTTCGTAGATGGAAAAAATCTGCTACCGCTGTAGGTGGGGGAAATTCCAAGTGATTTTGTCTGTATTTGTAGCAACACACCTTCTATCTAGTACAATAACTGGATATTTTCATCAGTCCTCCCCACAAAAACAAGAAAATTATCGGTAGCAATAAAGTACAACTCGGGATTGGAGACATGTAACTGAAATAGTAAATAAAGTAGAAAAATAATTGCTATGTGTCAAGAATCCCTGAGAGCCCCTGACGCGCGTGTTTCGCCCACAGCTCATCAGAGGGGAACCGATATGTGGGAAAAAACGAAGTTTTAAAATGGAATGACAGTTCGCTATTGGTTGAATTTGAATATCGTCATCTTAGTATGAGCAAATCACAATCATTCAAAGGAATGATGTCATTGGCTAATTGAGACTAGCACCGGAAAATGGTACTGGGAAGTTTTTTAACCCTTAAAAGTCCTGATAGACAGCCCAAGAAAAGGGCTGTGATACTTGATTGAATAAATGGTTATAAATCAAGAAAAAGTAAAATCTATCTTGGATAATTATGGAGAATAGTGTTGTGAAGCAAAGACAAATAAGAAAGAGTCATTTAGTTCATAAGCCTTCGACGGCACATATATGTGTGATCTATTGTCAAATGAATAATTATTAAAAGATAAAATTGGTTTGATGAAATAAATCATGGACTTACAAATGTCCAGCGGCACATATTAGTGATGATGTGTGTTCACATGCCATCGTGGCATTTCAACTCTAAATTAGATCACACATATATTAGGGATAGAACGACTAAATGTATGAAGTGAAATCTTCTTATAGAATGTAAATATGAAGGATATAGTGAGTTCTCATGGATGTAACCATGAATGTTGCAATTTCAGTATTTGATCGTAAGTGTGTGGCTATATAGTTGCTACTTTTAAATAAATATTATCCAACATTTTTATAATGCTTGTTTACAATGATAGAGAGAAGAGTCTTCAATACTGGATTGTGTCCAAGATACAAAACCTTATTCAAGATTAATAAGTGATAGATGCCAAAGTTGATAAAACAATAAAATTGGTGATAAGAAAATGAATAGATTTTGGCTGAATGTAAAAGATATATATCGGCACCAAATAATCAAATGAGTCATGAACTAGCAGCTTTTTCGCCAAATAAGTGGATGTTGATAAACACTCTTAACGTTTTGAGCTCCAGACCCAAATAATTGTCCCCACATATTTAGTGGGCTCTAATGGTCCTAAACTGTTACAACCTTCATCCATAAATATAATAAAGCCAGTTCAGCCATGAACTGTGGTATGAGGGATCCCCCCGCAGCGGAGCTGATAAACCACCTCCATAGAAGGGACTTAAACCCCCCCTTTTTTTTTTTTCCTTTTCTTTTCTTTTTTTCCCTTTTTCTCGCTGTCACAACAAGAATAGACAGAGTATTGTTATATTGTTAGCGTCACTGAAGCGTTAGACGATTGCTGTTAGTGAACCAGACCAAATCAAACTAGCACAGCTAGTAGCATACACCCGCTCAGGGTATTCGATAAAAGTTGGAAGTTATTATTTTTACAAATCTGTATATCTACTTCATAACATGCATATTGCGCAAATAAGGAACCATTGTCAAAATACTAACAAATATGATTTATCATGGCCACACAACGCTAGACAAATGCACCGCTTTGGCCACCAAAGAGATAAAATCCACATGTTACTAGTGAGTACAGCATATTTAACCCCTTAAGGACACAGCTTCAGAAGCTTGACTTACGCTTAATGACACAAGCAATTTTTGCATTTTCTTGCTGTTTGCGTTCAACTGCAATTTGCATCTCTCTCATTTATTGCACCGACACATATTATATACTGTTTTTTAAAGGACAGAAAGGGCTTTAATTTGATATAACATATATATATATAAATGCTTACTTATTATAAAAAAAATACAGAAAAATGCAAAAAAAATGAAAAATATTGGTTTTTTTTACAGTTTTTGCAATAATAATGTGTGCATAATTAGTGCAGGTTAAGGAAAGTAATTAAAAATAAATTTATTTATTTGTTCTGATTTACAGAATATATAATGTGTCTGGGATTTTAAGTTTTTTTGGTAGTTACAGGTCACAAAGCACAAGGAGTAAAATAAACTTTTAATGTGGAGCGATTTTAGAATTTGGTATGTTTGTCTTGTAAGCTTAATAGCCATAAAAGAAAACAAAATTGCCACACAAAAGTATATATTTATATAAAGTAGACATCACGGGCTATTTACCTAAGGTTGTTTTGACACTTTCTACGTAGCCATATTACCGCCAACCTCTGCTAAATATTGGAGTAAAATTGTGTTCTTTTTGGTTTTTGGCACACAAACTTATAACAGAGAAATTCTCGTGTATATTTTGTAAAGTTGGTGTGTGCTATTCCTGTACAAAGTTTTATTTTGTGTTCAGTTATATCTGCTGAGTAAAATGACACCCCCATTGTATGTCTTTTGCACTATTTCGTGAAGTTACAGTGCCATACAGGATACCTGTCCTTTTCAGTATTCACAGTAGAATTTTGAGAGATGAATTTAATGAGCCTTAGCTTCCATTTGGGGTATTATAACAGTTTGACTGTTCAAAAAAACCCCACAAAGGCCTACCATTTGTAAAAGTAGACACTCCAGGGTATCTTATAAGGTGCATATTGTGCCTTAACATGCCCCCATTTTTTCACCAATATATGCCAAAGTATGTGGTAAAAAAAGATTTTGTGCATTTTTTACATACGGATTGCATTTTTGCTGGGCGTTTTGTATATTTCATATGTGCCACTAAGTTCAAACCCCCCAAATTATGCTCAGCTAAGTCTTCTGAGTAAAATGACACCCCATATGAATGTCTTTGGCACTATTTCGTGAAGCTACAGTGCCATATAGGAGACCTGTCCTTTACAGTATTCACAGTAGAATTTTGAGAGACGGATTTAATGAGCCTTAGCTTCCATTTGGGGTATTATAACAGTTTGACTGTTCAAAAAACCCCCACAAAGGCCTACCATTTGTAAAAGTAGACACTCCAGGGTATCTCATAAGGTGCATATTGTGCCTTAACATACCCCCATTTTTTCACCAATATATGCCAAAGTATGTGGTAAAAAAAAATTTTGTGCATTTTTTACATACGGATTGCATTTTTGCTGGGCGTTTTGTATATTTCATATGTGCCACTAAGTTCAAAACCCCCAAATTATGCTCAGCTAAGTCTTCTGAGTAAAATGACACCCCATATGAATGTCTTTGGCACTATTTCGTGAAGCTACAGTGCCATATAGGAGACCTGTCCTTTACAGTATTCACAGTAGAATTTTGAGAGACGGATTTAATGAGCCTTAGCTTCCATTTGGGGTATTATAACAGTTTGACTGTTCAAAAAACCCCCACAAAGGCCTACCATTTGTAAAAGTAGACACTCCAGGGTATCTCATAAGGTGCATATTGTGCCTTAACATACCCCCATTTTTTCACCAATATATGCCAAAGTATGTGGTAAAAAAATTATTTTGTGCATTTTTTACATACGGATTGCATTTTTGCTGGGCGTTTTGTATATTTCATATGTGCCACTAAGTTCAAACCTCCCAAATTATGCTCAGCTAAGTCTTTTGAGTAAAAATACACCCCCAATGAATGTCTTTGTCACTATTTTGTGAAGCTACAGTGCCATATAGGAGACCAAGCCATATCCGTTTTTACCAAACTTTGAATTTTGACGCTGGGCCTATGTGCAATTTCCAAGCATCTTCGCAGGTTTTAAATTCAATCTACCCCACAAAGGCCTACCATTTCTTAAAGTAGACACCCCAGGGTGTTTCAAAGGTATAGTTTGAACCTTAGCGTGGGATCATTTTTCCGCTAGCTTGTACCAGATGTAGTGGTAATAAGCGTTTTTTCTGCCTTTTTGACATACAAAGTGAGTTTGCACAGTATATTTTGCAAACCTTATGTGTGCTACGACTGTATAATACTTCATATGTTGCTCAGCTATGTCGGCTGAGTACAGCAATACCCCCGTATGTACCTTTGCCAGGTATGTGTGGACATCGGAGGGGCACATTTGGGACACAGCCATTCCAGTTTTTTTCAAACTTTGAATTTTTATGCTGTGCCTATGTCCCATTTTAGAGTATTTTACCAGGCTATATAATCCAAATTCCCCATAAAGCCATACCATTTCTTAAAGAAGACATCCCAGGGTATTTCAAAAGGCATATTTTGAACCTTAGTGTGGGATCATTTTTCCGCTAGCTTGTACCAAGTGTAGTGGTAATAAGCATTTTTTCTGCCTTTTTGACATACAAAGTGAGTTTGCGCAGCATATTTTGCAAACCTTATGTGTACTATGACTGTATAATACTTCATATGTTGCTCAGCTATGTCGGCTGAGTACAGCAATACCCCCGTATGTACCTTTGCCAGGTATATGTGGATGTTGAAGGGGCGCATTTGAGACGCAGCCATTCAGTTTTTTTCTAACTTTGAAGTTTTACGCTGTGTCCATGTTCCAATTTGGAATAGTTTAGACGGTTGGTTATTGAAACTTCCCCACAAACACATACTATTTATTAAAGAATACACCCTGGGGTAATTCAAAAGGCATATTTTGAACCTTGGCGTGGGATAATTTTTTCTCTAGTTTGTTCCAGGTGTAGTGGTAATGAGCGTTTTTAAAATGTATTTTTTTACTTTTTATAACTTTTTTACTTTTAAAAACTAGTTTTTAAACTTTTGTTTTGCTTATAAATTTTTTTTAAACTTTCCTAAACTTTCTTAAAACTTTTTTACAGATTTAACATTTTTCTAAGCTATTTTTTTTACTGTTAACCCCTAACTAGCAGTACGCAGCACTAACAGTAAATTCCCCATTTTCCCATAACTCCCACCCACCCCAGCTAGCAAAATATATAGTTATAAAATATTTAAATTAATTAATTAAATAAATTGAACCCCTGAGGGTTAAAAAAATAAATAAAAGTTAATCCTCAGGGGTTAAAAAAAATTAGATCACAGTATAATACTGTGATCTCTATTTGATCGCTGTAGGCAGTGATCGACTGGCAGGGAAGGGGTTAATTTTTATTTGGACTAGGTAAAGTGTGTTTTTTTTGTTTTTATTACTTAAATGTTATTAAAACATTTTTTTAAGCTTAATTTTTAACTTTTTAAAGTTTCTTTTAAAACTTTTTTTAACGTTAACCCCTAGTTAGCCTAACGCCAAATCCCCCAATTCCCCACTAACTTCCACCTACCCCAGCTATCTAAATATATAATTTAAAAATAATTTAATTAATTAATTTAATTAATTTAACCCCTGAGGGTTAAAAAAAAAAAGAATTAACCCTCAGGGGTTAAAAAAAAAATCAGATCATAGTAAAATGTAATCCCTGCCAATTGATCACTGTAGTCAGTGATCAATTGGCAGGGAAGGGGTTAATTTTTTATTAAAATGGGTAGGGGGGGGACACTTTAAATAAACTTTATTTTTTTTAACAGCAGGGGGCAGGATCAGCACTGATCCGGCTCCCTGCACTTCACACAGAACCCGGAAGTGCAGGGAGCCGGTAGGTAAGTATACAGAGCACATGTGCTCGCTCCGACTTGTGGTCAGAGCGAGCACATGTGCTGGGCAGCTGACCGGGTGCTCCCGGTATGCCTCCAATGCAGAGGCATACCGGGAGCACCATTAACCCCGCGATCGCCGCGATAGCGGCGATCCGGGGTTAATTTTACCGCGTGACGGACGAGGTCCGTCACCCGTCGTTAAGGGTCTCCCCTGTGTGACGGACCTCGTCCGTCACCCGTCCTGAAGGGGTTAATAGCATGTTTAATAAAGAGGAAGTATGTACCTCCTTCTATCAGAGCTGCATCGTTACCACAGATTTATCCATGATGCAACAACTTGCTTCAACAACCGCTCCAGAGAAAGGGGGCTAGATAAGTGATGTTGATTGCCTTTACATGGTTATAGCAGCTGGGACACAGCGCTTAAACGTGGTATTCCCATGCACGCCTTAAATTACGAAACATAACTCCTCGTAAACTTAATGTGTGTTTTAATATATAAGACTACAGCATTTTATAAAGGGTGCTCGATTGTATAACCTATACCAGTACTGCACTTTTAGCAGCAATCTATATCTGACCATGCAATATAAGTTGATTATTTTATTTAAATGAGCATTTACACGTCTACATGCTTACATATTAATATAATTTATTTGGCTATAAATATGCAAGATAGACAGACGAAAATCAGGCCAGGCAGCAAGGACATAATGATATGTTACCATTCAATG